CCCCCCCCCCCCCGCCCCGCCCTCTGAACTTGCAAGCAAACGATCGATATCGCGCATTAGTGAGTGATATCCATGAAAAAGTAAACAACCATTCGGGAGGCCCCTTGAAGAGGTGGCGCAAATACATCAGTGAGTACTAATTGGCGGTAAGCATGCAAACGAGAATAGAAGGGCCCCGCACAGCTGCACCCCGCGTGTGGGAATACTCCAGTAACATCACTAACATGAGACACCCATACTGATAGTGTGTTGGTATTCTTAAAGTATGTAAAGCAAGAATGGTAATGTAATTTTAATTTTAGATGGTGTGCGTTTATGTAAAAAGTAAGGGAATAAAAGGGAATGTGAATAAGTTAAATCTGAATAAAAATCTGAATAGGAATGTTAAAAACATACATAGCCAAAACTGTGAAAATAGAACCGAGTCAAAATACTACTCGAAACGAAAGCATTTCCTGTTACCAAAAATTTTTTCTGTGAATTTTCTCTACAAAATTGCCTAAAATACCACAGGGCATAGATTTTAGTGAAGCTTACGCATCTACCCGCTAATTTACGGGTTCATTCACCCAAGGTCACTACTATTCTTATCATGCAATTTAGATTTTCGTCTTTCACAAACATTAAGATATCGCTAAAGTGACTGTTCTGAATACTTTTATGATGCAACACTTTATCAGACTGGATGACAAATTTATCAGGCAAAGTGATAAACGGCTTGGAAGTACACATACACACACACATGCAGACACACACACACATATATTTCTACATACACACACATGTATATGTATACACACGTACACAACATGCACATACATTTACAAGAAGGTCATTTTTACTATGTAATTATAGAGAAATATGTATGGAATGCAATTTAGTGTGGTGCACTGTTCGAATGTATTAACGCCTAATTAGAGAAATGTACAGTGTTCGGGCACTCTCTCATTCGAGAATCATTCCGGGGCTACCCCAATTCAGTGCGCAAAATTGCTTCAGAAATTCGGGAAAAGGCTCTTTCTCGCAGTAAGAATTACGAAGAACTAAGACTGAGAGTTCCCGGACAAGCGGATATACGCTCATGCGTAAGTTATATAAGAAAAACAGGAAAAAGGACACCAGGATGTAAGTTTCAGTGAACGAGGAAAATGTCCAAACACAAGGAAAATGTTCATTTTCATACAGAGTCCTCAAATTCAGTCAAAAATACATTTATCTTCCCAGTAAATTACCCTCCATGAGATGAAAGCGCAGCGTAAGGTAGCAAGAAGTGCTACTTTCATGTCAAATGTATGGATGGTTCAATTCGGCGAGAAAAGCTTTTTTTTTCATAATTTCTCAACAATTCTCCTTTTTTCGACAGTAAAATAGTGCTGGCATGTGTCAGAGAGTCAAAACCGCCATCAGCTTGCTTGTAAGCACCTATCAAAAAGGGCCAATCACCGAAAAATTCATCAGAGCAGAGGATTCTCACCTCTCAAAAGTTCTAAAGTACGAAAATCGTTTTGATTTTTCAACGAAATTCAATGCACTTTTTGTCAAAGCAATTTTCTTCAGAATTCACGTTTGTGAAGCAAAAATTCTATGCTCATCAATAAAATGAAAGATTATATGTTAAAAAAAGGGAATTATTTAGTTTTGAACTATAAACACTTTCTGTTCAGGTTATAGCTGAGCTTTTCTTTATCTTTAAAAAATCCAAATGAAATTCTACGAGGAGCGAATTAAGATTTTTAGATTCTATGGAAAAACTGAATCGTCGAAGCCGAAAAAATGTCTTTTTTCTTTCGAATTTTAGAACCCTCGTGCAAGAAATTTTCCACAGATTAAAGGGGAAAGAAAATGGACTACTTCCCTTTTCGCCTTGTACTTCGGCCAGAAAGGGGCAGCAAAACTAATTATTTTATCAACTCAATGTACCACTCACTCTTCACAAAAAATGACGAATTCACAATAGTCCCCGCCAGCGCATAATGGTAAATTTTGAAAAAACTAGACTGGGAAGATGGGCAGGGGGAGAGTATGCATATGGAGAAGTAATTATTTAGAAAAGCAAGGTTAGGAAAATCTCTCAACTAAAAGTGCCTACTTTCCACAAACGCAATTCACTTCCATTCCCTTTTTATGCGTTTTTTGCACCTATGCAATGCAGAAAATGCCCACTGACGAGGGACTGTTTGCTGCGTGTGTATGTGTGTTCGTCTGCACCGATTTTTCATCTCGAGACCTACGAAAGCTACAGGGCTGAAGTTTTGAAAACTTAATCTGTATGCTCGTATGGGCCTCCATCCCCAAAATAGGCGCTCCTACCCAAGTTGTCCCACGTACGGGCCCGTCAAAGTTTTTAGCGAGCAAGCTGCTAACTCGGAAACCAGAAAAGCTGGAAAGCTGAAATTTTAAGATGTTCCCAATCCATGTAGGTATTAATGAGGTCAAACCCAGCCCTCGGGTATGGGTCTTTCTCGCGAACGAGACCGTAAAAATTTTTTCGATTAAGTTGCTTGTTCGGTGACCTGAAAAGCTAGAAGACTGGAATTTTTAGGGGATGTTTCCAGACAGTCCTGGAAGCCAGCCCCAATTCTTTTTTAGTTAAAAAAATCTGCCGGAAAAAAGTGCCGCTAGCCACAAAAATCTGCGGGGAACTATGCAAAAAACGCATCTTGGCAGTCGGTGCGCTGGCCATTTATTTACTTCACTTTAGGAAAGAATGCAGGTGCAAATCTCAGAAATGTCTAAGACCAGTCGGTAATAAATTTATCTATTAAAATTCGTATGCATGACATTTTGGAATGTACTGAATCACGACAAAATAAAATGTAAAAATAAGTATTCAAATAGTACCGACCCACAAAAGACCCTATGAAAAGCCCCGAAAAGAAGTGCTCCCAATTTGGCAGCCTTGCTCATATCTTCCAGATGAAGGGCCATAACGAAACGGCTATGCAAGGAGTCGAGAAAATCACCAAACCGTTAATAAAACGTGGAAGAAACCGGCACTTAAGTGCTAAAAAATAATAAACTTGGCTCACCTGCACAGCTGTGCATTTTGTGCAAGATTCTTATCGATCTTTTCCAGCATCTGTGCATCTGCATTTTCGGCTAGTTCACTGAGTATTTCGTTTTTTAGGATTTCATTTAAGCCCATTTCTCCATCCAATGCATTGCGTTCTGCATCCAGAATTGTCACTTTACGCGAAATCGATTCGATTAACTGCAAAAAACCAAGCGTATACGAATGTTGGCACTACTGAGCTTAGGATTTTCCGTAGAGAATCCCAAGCGGATGAAGACTGAGTAATTTCAGCAGCTCG